CCCCCCCCTCTTCCGCCATCATAGACGAAATTCAATGCGCCAAACATAACGGAAATTCTTCATCGCTGTGAGTATGGAAGATGTCGATGGGTAGTCAGCTAAATTTAATTCCACTAACAAACAAGAATGTTTCGGTATGCTAACGAGAACAGGTCGATTTCACACGACACCTATCGTTGCTTTGGTTCCTTTCTAAAATAAATTTCGACACCCGTTACAATTGTTTAAATTTGTGGTCACATAGAGGGATTTTGAGTGCGATGACTACAGTTATGCCACATCAAGGCCACAACAGGCTTTTGGACTTCTTATAAATAAAGGATGCTGCATAAAGCGCAGCAATTTGTCATCGAATATGAAGCTGATTAAAACATTCTCTACCATAATATCACGCCTTTTGACTCAATTTTAACGGCCGTACCTGTTTTCTTAACCACCTGAAGTGTATAATTTTAATAGGAGTCACGATGTTATGACAACGAGATATGCTTTTATTTCAGTCCTTGCTTTAGTTTTTCAAAGGAGTACTCATTTGTCATAGACAGTTAGGTGAATAGGCAGTCAGTGACCGTCTGTCGTCGTTTCCCAGCTGTTCCTATCGTTCGACATGGCGATTACTATCGTACCCCTTGTTGTATAACTAGTAAATAATGTTGTTAAACCATCAAAAGTCAAATAAAAGAGAACAGTTGAGTTCCAGGAATTGATTAAGAAGACGACTCTATCGCTAAGACAATACTGCAAACATACAACAACAATTAACCGCAATTGCCTTCTTGCGTGTTGATATTTTGTTGAACGGCATGCGGGCTCTGACCTGCTGAACTTTAATCACGCGTGATGGACTCGGGCGTGATGATTGCTCGGCCATCTGGCCCTCCAGTGTTGGCGTAGCATGACGCGGTAGTCTTTCCGTTGCCCAAGTGACGACTTGCTGTAGCCAAATTGAGTCTCAACGCGCCGATATCAACACGCAAGAAGGCAATTGCGGTTAATTGTTGTTGTATGTTTGCAGAAATGACTGTATCTTAGAAATACTGTAAAATCCTGTGCATAGGCTACCCGGTTCTGCTACTGCTCTCTGATTATGTGTCTGATGACGAATCCGGGACGGATTTTGAAACGTCAGGCGAATAAAAGTATTGTCCCAGCGATCGAGTCGTCACCTCATCAAAATGTCTTTTATAAAAAGCCAGATAGTTCATGCTCTGTTACTGAAATAGTACAGATTAAAGGCTAAATATAATGTATTTGCAGAAGAAGCCTGGTTACCATTTTTTTAGCAATTATTTGCCCTTTTAA